TACTACTTGATGCCCCACTCGTGTGCATACATAGGTATTGTCGGAACACCACGGACGACGAGGAGGAGTGCAAGCACCAAGGAACAACTACATCATCCATGAGGGAAGCATGGAAGCGGAGACGGAAGAAGACGGAGCTGCTGAAGCTACAGTGGCCGAACATCCGGGCCAGAGGCCGGACATCCCGTGCCTGTGCAGCCGCCGAGGAGCTGCACCAACAGACGGCTAATAGCATCAGTGGCCGGACATCCGGCCTTCCCCCGGAAATCCGGCATCAACGACAGAACGCACCAGATTCGGCCACCGTCAAGCCGGACATCCGGCAAGTGCCCCGGACATCCGGCGCCCCGCGAACGGCCGGACAGCCGGCCCCCAGCCGGACATCCGGCGCCTGCCTGCGCGCATGGAGAGGGCCCGAGGCCCATGTATCCCCCTCTCACTTACCCCCTTCGTGGACTAGCACTATATATAGACCCCTTCCTCCTCCTAGTTAGGGTTAGTATTGGTTTAGCTCATATGAGAGATAGAGTTTTGCTCATCTATGTGGTTTTTCTCGATCGAGAGACCGCGACCTCTACGGAGAAAATCCACGCTTGGATTCAAGACCCCTCAGGGAAGATCCCTCGCGGATTCAAGGCCTCCTCACGGAGATGAACAAGTTATCTCTTGTATCCCCCTTTGTTGGATTTGAATCATGTTCTCCCTTTGTGTTCATGGATCTAGCACATGTGTGATCATATCTCGTTGATTTGAGTGTTTTCTCTCATTTCCCCTCGCGTTTTCTCTCTCGTGTTCTTCGTGGGATCCCCTCCAAATCGTGAAAGATCGGCCTTGGGGTTTCCACCCTACATCAACATACCCCGACAAAAATAAAGCACAATTAAGGTTTGGCATTACTTTCTCTTTACGAAAGAAAAATGATTTAGGGCTTCTTTGATTCGTAGGATTCTGAAAATGCAGGAATAGAAAGAGAATAAAGCTTTCCTTCAGCCGACGGTTCGCACGCAAAGTGTCCGTCACTTTGTACGCCCGCCACGTGCTATGCTAGGCTGCAACCTTATCCTTTGGTCGCGACCTTCTTATCCATTCATTGCAACCATCTATGTCGCACGCAGCAAATAGTTCCTACAATATGATCTTTGTTGCAAAAAAATCAGTAACATGGCCTTTGTTGCAAAAAGTTTTGTAGACATTTCTGCAACATAATCTTTGTTGAAAAAACATTCTGCAACATGGCTTTTGTTGCAAAGGTTTCTACGACACAACCTTTGTTGCAAAGGTTTCTGCAACATCAGCTCTATTGCAATGGTGAAGGCTGTCCATCAGCCGCTCGATGGGAACAAATTTGATGGCTCATGACTCGGTCCATCTTTTAAAAGATCAGCCGGCGGATGTGTAAGACGTCCCATAAAAGAACATAGATGAAATGTCATGATCATCTCAATCCTACATAGGAAAATCCAGGGTGATCTCATTGCACCGCCGCAAGATCTTTTCCAAGAGATCAGAATTCCTCGTCAACCTGCCTAACTCAGTTAGCAGCCCACGCAGATGATTTCGACCGTCCGACTCTCTTCCACGCACTCCTCCTTGTAAAAGAACGAGTCAAAATCGAACAAGCAGACAGATCGGCGCACCGAGCCAAGCCAAAAGCCCGTCGCCGCCACCACGCATGGCAGGCTCGCGGTGGTGGGAAAAAGCTGACCGCCGCAACTCGCTCTTTGGAATCAGGCACGACGTCGATCGCAGCATTCTGCGCCGAATTGCACAATTTGTACGCATTGGAGTCTGCGCTGTCGATCTACCGGCAGATGCCCGCGGAGGCGGGCCTTGCTCCGCAGTTCTAGGCGGGCGTGACGCGCTGCCATGGCCGCTAGCGCACGCACGCCGAGGCGGTAATGGCTGAGGTCACCGCCCCTACGTCACACCGCTGACGGCATCGGGGTCGTGCGGGCCGATCGGCATCTCACTAAAATAACGCGCGATCGATCGATCGTGCAGCATCAGCTGCCTTCTCGACACGAGCCGCTGAGACAAGACAATTCTGAGCAGCCCCCGCCGCAATAACGATGCTGCGCCCAGCACTGGGCCGGCCGTGGCCTCGAGACATCACGTCGCCGTAACAGTGGCGGCGATTGGAGATGTCGGTGCGCCATACGGCGACGGGCCACCGGGGCCGGGGCCGGTCACTACGGCTTGTTTGTTTCTCGTTCCGCGGCTGTGGCGTGGGATGCGTGGCGCGAGATCTTTCTATAGTACCCCCGGAATGGAACGCGTGGGCGCATGATTGTCGTGGCAGCGCAATTGCGGCCCATCACAAGTGGGTACACACAGCATCGTGGGTACGCCGCTGCCATTAGTTAGTGGTTTAACCTCCGCCGCTAATTAAGCGGCCACGACAGCGAAAGCTCCTGGTTTATTCAGTTACAGGTTTCATGTGGTTTGGACATTTTTTTAGAGAGAGATAATCTTAGGGTAAATTCGCTGTCGGCGATCGCGGGTAGAACTCTGGACGCACGCAGGCTCTCCCGTGTCGAGCTAATCTTCTCCTTCCGGTAAATTTTGCGATGACGTTCACGGCACGCCACCGGCCGGGGTCGAAGGAGTGCAAATACAGGACATTCTGGAAGGGGAACACCTTGGTAGGAAGGAACCGCTCGTGTGCTGGCAGAGTGGCAAGTCCACGCGGTGCCGAACAGGCTGACACAACAACTTTAGCTTCCTCGACGATATGACACGCATGTGCCGTGCTGGAGACAACGATTTGTTCACATAAATTAAGGGGAATATCAATTTGTTCAATCGTTTCTCTTGTAAACTCTCCTTGTTTGAGACTGATCCAAATCAATAACCCGGATCACCAGCTGTACTGCAATTGATTGCACCGCCCTCGATGTTTAGGACTCCCTCGTTTCTTAAATATAAGACCTTTTGAAGATTTCACTATGGACTGAGGGAATATGCATAATCAAGACTACAGTTCAATAACTCTAAGTCGATTTATAGTACACAAAAAAATGCAATTCATGGAATGCTAAGTCCATGACAGCAAGATCTGGTGTCAGGTGCTTCAGTTGTTCAACGGCGACAACTATGGCTCCAGGACATTGGTCCTTAGAAGCATGTGCATGAAGATTTTCGGGTTGTCATCGACAGAGCCATGTGGCTCTGGTATGGAAGTGGCGACAATATCATGCCGGCTTCTCGTTCTGGCAGCGGTAATGCTCGTTCGATGGTCTAGGAATTTGATGTACTCCCTCCGTAAAGAAATATAAGAGCATTTAAATCACTAAAGTAGTGATCTAAATGCTCTTATATTTCTTTACAAAGGAAGTAATTTTTATTATGTTTGGGATGCTTTGTAATTTTGATAATTTTTTATAATTGAATTTGGTATTTAAAAAATACTATAAGCGATAAAAGGTTATTTGTTGTATATGCCGTCGATTTTGTCCATAATATTAAGCCAGTCAATTATACTAAGGCACTGTTTATTTGAATTTTTGCTTCTACTTTTACATCTTTTCACTCCAGCAAAAAAGTCAAAAAGCCAAAAAGCTCATAAATAGGTGCTTTTTCGTCGGCTTTTGGATTATACCATCATATAACAATCTTCATTCATAAGGTTGCTGCTCCTTGTCGTCTGTGATGTTGATGGTGGTGTGGGTCGCGTTCTCTCGGTGGTGAGGGTTGGAGAAGACCATGGCGCGCAGACTCGACGACAATTTGCTGCGGTGGCGGCGGTGCGAGGCATCATGGACGGTACTGCCCAATACCTCGGAGGGGTGGAGTTGCGCGACATTACAGATGAAAATCCAGTGTGGTTTTGGCCGGGCCAGCGACGATGGCACCCGTAGGTGTCATTCCCCTCCCTGGAGGCGTCGCCGTGGCAGTTGTCTCCGGGCGAAAGCCTTGATTCGGCGCTGAATTGGCACGATGGCGGCGTTCTCGACGTCGTCTCTCTGTTGGGAGCATCGTGCCTGGAGACTTGGAGTTCTTATGTTGCGCTCCCTCGGTGTTCGCCCCTGCCCTGATCGTTCTTCCCCGGCGCAATGTACGGTCGTCGCCGGTGATTCCAAGACGGTGCCTTTTTTAGGTCGGATTGAGTCCTGCCATCCTCTTGTCCTCTCATGGGGGATGGTGCATTGACAAGGAAAGCTTGGAGGGAGCGGCCGTTCTTTGGAGGTGACCGGCGTCGGTCGAGACGCGGCGAGTTTTCGGTTTTGGAGAGGCTTTTTGCGTTGTGGTTGTGTTGTTGTGGATGGCTGTCCTTGGACTAGCCGGTTGTGGAGTTGTGCTACGCTCGTTGCTCGCAGCAAGTGGTAGCGTCTTGTACTTAATATTCTTTTCTTCTATAAAGCTATGATACGTAATTTGCGTACTCTCGAAAAAAAATTATAATTTTTTGCCAAATTGAAAAGGCTGTAAAAGCAGAAGAAAAAAACCCAAACAAACAGGGCTTAAGAGGAACTCATATACATCAAAACTCAAGTTTTGTGACATGTTTTCCTTTTTCGAAATAGTGTGGCTAAAATGCATCCACAACCACGAGCGTCATTTACTCATAGCTTTTGTATTCCTTTTGCTCTTAAATATAAGTGATTCTAATATAAATTATATACGAAGCAAAATGAGTGAACCTACACTCTAAAATAAGTATATATACATTTATATGTAGTTCGTATTGAAATCCTTAAAAAGACGAATATCTAGAAACGGAAGGAGTATAATTCATTGCACCGACCTATAGCCACGACTAAAGACTAGTCCAATAACTCAAGTCAATTTATAGTATATCCCAAAATTTTCATTCATTTATAGTAGAACTCCTAGCTGGTATAGGTGCTAAAAGGTTTTTTGTTGGGCGTGCCATCATTTGCCTATAAAAGGGCAAGGCCAACTTGAATAGGTACACGGATCACATTACGGCAGCGAGTGGCAACACTAGCTAACAGCCGGGCAGCACATACGCACACATCGTATCATTCCTAGACAAGAGCATGGCTCCGGCGATCGCCGCAAAGCCTCTCCTAAGCGATCTGGTGGCGCAATCCAAGCAAGTCCCGTCGAGCCACATCAGAGCGGTCGGAGACCGCCCGGACCTCGCCAATGTCGACCACGAGTCCGGCGCCGGCATTCCGCTCATCGACCTGAAGCAGCTCGACGGGCCGGGCCGTCGCAGGGTCGTCGAGGCCATCGGCGCGGCGTGCGAGAACGACGGGTTTTTCATGGTACGTAGTACGTGCACCGCTTGTTGAGACCAGTTAATCTTTTGTTCTGCCGATGTAGTAGCACGAGACGTTCGACAGAGCTCTGAACAACCTGACACTGGTCGTCACTGCGTATGTAGGTGACGAATCACGGCATCCCGGAGGCGGTCGTGGAGGGGATGCTGCGCGTGGCGAGGGAGTTCTTCCACCTGCCGGAGTCGGAGCGGCTCAAGTGCTACTCCGACGACCCCAAGAAGGCGATCCGGCTGTCCACGAGCTTCAACGTGCGCACGGAGAAGGTGAGCAACTGGCGCGACTTCCTCCGCCTGCATTGCTACCCGCTCGAGAGCTTCGTCGACCAGTGGCCCTCCAACCCGCCGGCCTTCAGGTGAGCACCCGTCGACGCTCGGCCTCATTTCTATCGTGTCAGGATGAACTTCCGTACGTGCAGCTGCTCACCAACTAATTAAGTTAGTTATACTAGCACTAATACTTAATTTTAGCCTACGACTTTTAATACTGTTGGTACCCATCGAATCTTTCAATACGGCCCGCTAAATAACCTGTCAAAACAACGAGGCGCATACCTAACATGTGCACCGTTAGACCTCTGTCAGGACGATGACAGGCTAGCTGTTGCAAATAAGGAATACTACAGTATAACAGAAAGTAGGAGAAAAGGAGGCAAAATATAACTGCTGTTCGGCTGCGGTGGCAGACTGATAGGTGTATTTTTCGGTGAGATTGAGTTCGAAATAAACTGACAATTTGCGCTGACCGTGTGAGCAGGGAGGTAGTCGGCACCTACTCGACGGAGGCGAGAGCGCTGGCGCTGAGGCTGCTGGAGGCGATATCGGAGAGCCTTGGGCTCGAGAGAGGCCACATGGTGAAGGCCATGGGGCGGCACGCGCAGCACATGGCGGTGAACTACTACCCGCCGTGCCCGCAGCCGGAGCTGACGTACGGACTGCCGGGGCACAAGGACCCTAATGCCGTCACGCTGCTCCTCCAGGACGGCGTGTCCGGGCTGCAGGTCCGGCGCGACGGCCGCTGGGTGGCCGTCAGCCCCGTGCCCGGGGCGCTGGTCATCAACATCGGCGATCAACTGCAGGTATCCTTCTAGACAGACACAACTGTGGACAGCACTCTACGGCATCCACTAACGTTTCGGCTATGGTATCGTGCAGGCTCTGAGCAACGATCGATACAAGAGCGTGCTCCACCGGGTGATCGTGAACAGCGAGAGCGAGAGGATCTCGGTGCCGACGTTCTACTGCCCGTCCCCGGACGCGGTGGTCGCGCCGGCGGAGGCGCTGGTGGACGGCGGCCACCCTCTGGCCTATCGGCCCTTCACCTACCAGGAGTACTACGAGGAGTTCTGGAACATGGGCCTCGAGTCCGCCAGCTGCCTCGACCGCTTCCGACCGATCGCATGATGGACTGTCCGTCCGGCTGGCTGTGGGCAACAAAATCTCACGGGCCACAAATGTTGCTTGCTACCGATGATGTGTCGCCATAGGGGAAGACCTCTGAAAGACGCCCGGAGCCGTCAGATATAGTTTTGGATGGCTATAAGATCGGGGTGAACGGGAGAACTTTGTCCGTACGAACTTCAGTTCTCCCTGACCTTAGCACTAGAGATACGACCGGTGCTTTCATAAAAGAAGAAGATGCGACCGGTATTTGACGCAAGGATAACTTGTGGGCGTCCATCGAGCTGTCTATCTTCTAAGTGCTTGAAACTTAACTAGTTTGTGAAATAAATTGGCGTTCGGGATAAATTAAACCATCCGGATTTACGTAACTACTCCCTCTGTCTGAAAAAGGTTGTCCCTCAAATGAATGTATCTAGCATCAAATTAGTGTTAGATACATTCATTTGAAAGACAAGTTTTTTCAGACAGAGGGAGTATTTTGCCAGGGACGGGCTTTGCCGAGGATACCTTCTGTCAGTGCCGTTGTTCACTATCAATCTATCGCGATTGACCACCTTCAGAAAGTATCCTTGCAGGCCGGCCAGAAATGATTTCTTTTTGGCCTCTCCATGTATGAGGTTGATGCGCATGGAAAAAAAATATTGTGCTATGACAACATAGCGTAGCTCTTAAAATCTGCTAGAGCTAGGCTATATCGTGTCGCTACAGTGAACTATTGTGTACTGATTTCATTTAGCGAGACATTTCTCAAAACGCTATAGCGTGCTATTAGCGGAGTTAGGGTGCTAATATTCTTGGTTGATGATCCAATGACAAGATCCTACAATTTCAAAAAAGAAGAGTTCGTGCAAGTGCCGGAACCCCTGATTGCTTTGATGAATTCTAGTGAGCTACTTATAAACATTGATGAGGATGAGCTATTTTCAGTCCGGTATGACAATATTAATATTGCTGATGTGTGGATTGGCGAAACGCATTTAGCAACCGAGTTCCACCCTGTTTGCCATAGTCAGCTTCCCGAACGCTTTGGTGGGTGAGAATTGGACGCATCGCCAATGGCGTTAATTGTTTGGCCGGACTCTTAGGCCTTCTTTGGATTGGAGGATTTTCACAGGATTTTCATGGGATATCAATCCTCTGGATTGTTTCCTATGAAACGCATTTGGATCAAAGGATTGGGCCATTAAAATTCCTCGGGATTGGGTCTTCAAGGTGCTGATTCCAAAGAAATTTACACATGAGGTCCGACCTCTGGAAAAAATCCACAGGATTGGTTATGTCATGGCAATCAAATCCTCTATTTTTCCTATTCCTTTGTTTTGCAAATCCTGTGATCCAAAGAAGCCCTTAGCCCCGAGGAAGGAGAGGAGTGGCATCGCCTAGATAATATTCTCGGGAGTACCGCAATAACCAATAATGCAGATTCTTTCCATTGGAAGTTGGAAAAATCAAGAAAATTCTCACCTATCTAATTTATCGTATGTTGCACAATGGGGCAGCCCAATTTCAAGCCATGGAGTTTGGAAAGCCATATTATCCACCAAGATAAAGATTTTCTTGTGACCTCTAGTTCGTGACCGTCTAACATCTGGGGTAGAAGTGCAGAAGAGGCATGGACGGGCTGACGGTCTTTGTCCTCTCTGTGGAACGATGGAAGACAATAACTATATTTTTTCCCTTGCATCATGGCCCAATTTCTATGGGGATGCATAAGGGATGTCACTAGGTATAGTTGGGCACTGGCATCTTTCGCCGATTTTCACACCCTGAGTGGGAGACTTTCCTGACTTTCACAAAGAGTTCCCTGGATTTGCTTTGCTTCTCTTGCCTGGACGCTTTAGCAAATTTGTAATAAAGATCTTATTGAATGACTTTTTTTATTAAGTATCCTGCTGATGGACTTTATAAAATGACTACATTCTTACAGCTTTGAAAGCTACTCAGCACGGAACCATTGACCATTGAGACGTTGTGCAAAAAACGTTGTCAACATGCTAAGGCTCCTAGGGAGGAGGGCAACAGCCATGGGGGAATATTTTCATATGATGCTTCATCGGCGCTTGGAGTTATTTTGTGTTCTGTGTCGTTTCGGCTTTTCAGCCAATGACCCTCTTGGGTTTGTATCAAACTTGAGTTCGTTCGTAGACTATCTTGTCATTTGTTGTAAAACCTTAATGGCTTCAGTTTGCTAAAACCGGGCAAGTGCCTCCTTACTAAAAAAAGGATACTAATATTTTGAATCACTTTGCACCGCCTATAATGGCACTCTCGCATGCAAGTATTACAAGCTACCTCTACACTTAATACGAATGCTAAAAATGTGGTTTTTCCGACCTCCTATTGATAAATTAGGGGCAAGACTTCAAGATTGGAGAAAAAAAATAAGCCGCTAGAATTGTGCTTGCTAAGCCCTTCTTATCTTCTATATTGAGGTTTATCACATGACAATCTTCGCTTTAATTGGGTGCATGCTGCAAAAAGTCAACAAGTTGTATAGGTCCATCATTTGGAAGGGCGATTATGGTGAACATGCTGGTGGTAGTCATTCCATTGTCAATCAGAGAACGATGTGTAGGCCAAATGAAATGGGTGGTGGTGGAGGTGGGGGGTTGCAACTCTTGACCCTGACCTCTGGTGGCCTTGGCTGCAATGAACGTTCCTAGAGTGGCCTTGGCATTGGTTGGCTCTCTCATGTTATGAGAAGACATGTGTCTTTCTTTAACAGCCACACAAATTAAAATTGGCAGTGGAGCAAAAACATGCTTTAGGTTTATTTTCTTTCTTCCCTTCTATTTTGGCTCTGTAAATAATATTTTTACTATTTCTTGATTTGCATTATATTAATGAAATTGGCCCAACATTTGTATTTTCCATCAAAGATAAACTTTTGTTGCACCCCATGCAACCAACTCATTTTTTAGAAACACTGTTTCACTCACCCCTATGAATGCACAACCTATCCTATGAGCACCTCCTGATACTGGGCCTGACAGAAACACCATCTTCCACTGAACGAACATTGCTAAAAAGTCTAAAATAAATTCAGAGAAATGCAAAGCACATTTGCAAAGTCTATGACTTAAAGCGGGGTGGACTGGTTCCGCAACAAGACCGGTTACCATCTGAGCTATGCTTAGTAATGCAACCAACTTATGAGGTTGATTAATTGTTGCATGTTTGTGGACGTAACTCAACACGAGCAATCTAAATGACCAGAGAAAGGATATACTTCGTCTCCTGAAAAAGGGCACTCGGCGACAAATTGTTCAAGTTCTGAAAGTCAAGGGGCTTCATGTTAATACGATCGGTCTCAACCACCACCCAACCCATGAACCAATGTCAGCCTCTTCAGCCCATATCGTGCTATCATGGGACACAATACACACGAGCGGAAATGGGCTTTATATGTTTTTTGTTACATATGATCAATGGTAATAAGACAGTAGGTTATTTTCTCTATAGTGAATGTCATACCACCTAAAAGCCTTCATGAGAAAACACTCATATAATAACATGGTTATTAGAGTATCTACTAGGTTCACTATAAACACTTAGAGCACAACTAATAATATAACGAACTAGTGGCTATATACTACTGACATGTCATCTATACGATAGATTGACTATTATATCTTGTTTTTCACCTTCTCTCGTTCTCTTTTCTTTATTTTATTTCATGTTTGCTTTGTGACACTTGTGATCTCGCATGAGATCTCACTCTTATTTTACAATGTTTCTCTTCTTCATATAAACAAAAGTGTCATAGGACACATGTTAGAAGCCTCTTATTATATTTGCTCTTAGTGCTTGCATGTGGAGAGGCAATGATATGCACAGATTGGGAAGATGGAATCCTATATACCTAAGAGACTCGTGCACTACCTTATTTATCTTAACATACAGCCTATCCACATTGGCAACCATGTGATCTAAGAAAAGACTGACTTCACAAGCAGCCATGTCATGGCTAACCCTAACGTTGCCGGCCACATTGTTCACGCCAAGAAAACAACACATCATAGTCCCTTCATTTCTCTTGATGGATTTAAGCCGATAACATGGGTTGTATGAACCCCACTGTCGGTGTCAAAACCGGTGGATCTCGGATAGGGGGTCCCAAACTGTGCGTCTAAGGATCGATGGTAACAGGAGACAAGGGACACGATATTTACCCAGGTTCGGGCCCTCTTGATGGAGGTAATACCCTACTTCCTGCTTGATTGACTTTGATGATTATAGGGGTTACAAGAGTAGATCTACCACGAGATCGTAATGGCTAAACCCTAGATGTCTAGCCTATATGATTATGATTGCCTCTACAAACTAAACCATCCGGTTAATATAGACACCAGAGGGGGCTAGGGTTGTACAGAGTCGGTTTACAGAGAAATGAAATCTTCATATCCGCACGCTAAGCTTGCCTTCCACGCCAAGGAGAGTCCCATCCGGACACGAGGGAGAGCCTTCCATCTTGTATCTTCACGGCCCATCTGTACGGCCCACATTGCACAGCCCGGGCGCGCGAGGACCCCATAATCCTGGACTCCCTCAGTAGCCCCCAAACCAGTCTTCAATGACGATGTGTCCAGCGCGTAAATTGTCTTCGGCATTGCAGGGAGGGTTCCTCCACCGAATACTTCAAAGTATCTGAACCGAAAAGCTATATTCGGCCCTCACATCTTCAGTATTTGGTAAGGTGAATTCTTCAAACAACTTGGTTCTCATTAAATGTCGTACCTTCGGTTTCTGTGCTTCCGTCGCCTCAGCTTCCACGTGGCCAACGAACATGAAGGGTCCAAGCGTTTTTACAAATAACCCCTTGATAGTGTACGGAAGGTGTCTATTTAAAGAGATCAAATCTCAGATGCCATTCAACACCAGGCGAAAAACTCCTTCGAACTTGCCTCGAGAAACCACACAATCATGGCCAGTGCTCCCAGTTCTTCCTCCCGCCCCCATGGCCCTCAAAAAGGCGATTGGGAGAGCTGCTCTGTATCCCAGCCCCAGCTGACCAGGCTCCAGGTGCAGGGCTATCTCCCACCTGCAGATCTAGTTCCTGTTCGGGCGGGATTAACTTCCTTTA